AAAATGGGAATAGAGGGTATTAGAAGACAGTGCCGTCAGATCGTATCATGATAGGGGGTTCCTTTGTGTTTGGTCTGGAAACTTCCGCAATCTCGCGACCACCCTGTAGATTCATTGTTAGCATGTACTTCACTGGGAAAATCCTCGATGAGTGCTTCGTGCTTACCTTCCAGGTGCCAGCCTCAAGCATTTGTGCAAGCGACAGTGGCTCTTCGGAGCCCTTAAGCCCGAGCTGAGAGTTGACCTCCTCTAGGAGCTCATCCAGGAACCCGACAGTAGCGGCTCGCCATTCGACAATTACATCGTCGTCGGCGCAGAAGAGCGGTGCCACTTCGACACTGGGTTGACCCTTGATCTGAGCATTCTCTTTATACGCATCGATTCCACGCTGCATATCTTCCGGTTTCAGAGTCAAGAGTCCTAGGTCGATAAGAAGGCCTCCGTTTCGATATTCAGGAAGGCCTGTTAGAAGGTCGCTGCCGGCGAAGTGGATGGACATCAATTTCGACATTGGAACCATGATAGAGTAGCATAGCCATTGTGTCAGCTTGTGGAATGGAACAATGCTCTCCCACTGTTTTGCAGGAGGAGATTCGGGGAGACCGGAGCACTTCCAAGCATCTCCAATGGATACTCCATCAATCTGTGTTCGTGAGGGGGGCCAGATGGGAGAAAGGCCTTCCATGAGCACGGACCACAAAGTGGTAATCGGAACGATAGGTACGGAAGAAGCGAGGGTTGATGGATGACCGAGAAGATAATCTGAGTAAAGATTAGTAGCTGATCAAGCACAAACGCATAAAAGAGCCACACTGCCTCACCTAGCATATTTCCCGGCCTAGCGTCCACACCGAAGAAGTCTTGATTGTTAAGTGCCTCGGAGAGCCGTATCAACAACCCCGCGCGGCCTTCAATACCGGCCAGAGGATTTTGTTCAGAATGCTGCATCCCCTTGGCGAGCACCTCGGCCGTAACCTTTTTTAGTCCTGCGCCATCCACCTGGCACGGCTCCGTAGGATCGCTACTGAAAAGACCCGACTTGAACATCTCCAAACTCGCCACGGCCAAGCCTTCACTGCGCGAGAAGACTTTACCAGACTCCTTCGACCGGTATGACCACTTGTTCCCAGAACCAGCATCGAGCAGAACGGACACGACAAACAAATCAATCAGACGGCGTGTGCGTTCCTGCGCATCAATGCGACTGGGCCAGGACTGGAGGAGCTGGTTGATGCGCGGTCTGCCGCCAACGTCGAAATGCTGCCAGCGACCATGCGGCGGAATGTTCTCATAGTCTGGCGCATAATCTCGCTGTTTGGGAAGACATGTTAGCGCAGCTTCACGTGATTGCAGCAGTGGATTTACCTTGATGATGGAGACGACATAGGAGGCGGTAGCTTCGAATTTGCTCATGTCCACATCGAAATGGTTCAGTTGGTCCTGTTTGGCCTTGTTCAGGATGATGTTGGAGCGTTCGCGCACTGCATGAATGCTCCGTAGGTATGCGGCCGGGTCCAATGCTGGGTCTGGTGGTCTGGCGATAGGGAGTTCCGGGATTGAAGCTGGCGGACCGCTACCCTTGTATCCTGGTGATCTCAGGGACGTGTTTGACGTGCGAGCGCTGTTGACGGACACGAAGGAATCGTTCTCATTCTCGCTTTGAATGGAGTTCTTTGAATCTTTGCGCTTGAATAGCCCCATTGTTTCGAGCGTTTCGAGTTTCACCCCAGACCTTGGGACTCAAAGGTTGAAGGAGGACACCAGTGGAGAAATTGAAAGGAGGGGCGAAGAGAATGTACCTAGGCGGTTCGGATAAGGAGTTCATAAAGAGGGGGAAGTGACATCTGGATGTTCTGATCTTTTTTGTTTTTTTTTTTCTTATTTTTTTTCCTTCACTAACATAACATAATAAAGGCTCTAAAAGTAAAGTAAGTAAAAATAGGTAAAATAATAATAGTTTTATTTTTTTTATGGGGCTTGGTGACTGGAGCTCTTTACCTAGACCAGGGCCATTTAGCACGGGCTAGACGTCCGAGGATTAATAATTTGAGCATTACGGAGTCGATTTAGGGGGAAATTTGACTCTGACAAAGTCTGTCGGAACCTGGCGAAGTCTGGATCGAAGAGAACGAGAGCGGGAGCTTGGGAGGTACCAGGTACAATCCACAACTGGTACTTTAGTGTGCATGACGGGTACAGAGTACCGGTCACGTCAACTTTGCAGTTAGCTCAATGTGCTGATTTGCCCTTAAAGCTACTAGGGTACATCGTACATGCACCTATATATTGTAATTCATATTCCGTAACTAACTACGGAGTACAACAATAATAATTGTACTCCGTGCGTGCACAAAGCCTTTGTGTGCGGAGTACTACACATTTCTGGGACCAGATTAGGACCGATTGCCGTAAAAGGTATGGGGATGGGGCCCGGAGGAGTGGGCCAGTCGGAAAGCAAGAGCAGGGACTATCATTTTCACTGTGCAAGGGACGAATCATGTCCTACAAAATAAGAGAATAGAGAAATGGGATGTAAATATCGAGTAGATTTTGGTCCGAGGTGCCACCAGGTGGTACGTGTAAAGATCGCTCACATGCATTCGATCAGACCATGCCCTATTAGAGAGAGAATCCATGGATGATACATGCGGAAATGCACGGACTAGCGTACCGTTCAACGGAAAAAAGCAAAAAAAAAGGCAAAAAGGAAAAGGCATGGCTTGCCCTATGCGGAATGAACCCACTTCGGGTACTTCAATGGCGTGAATTGGTCAACTATCGCGCTGCGCGTTAATTCGTTAATTCTCTTATGAATATCTGTTAAATAAGCGCATGTTCAACCTCGGGAGACTTGTGGATTAACTTCGACTATTGTAGTGTAATTAATAAATTACTTCGTTTTAGTTAAGTAGGGGAATAATTCTGGGACTTCATATGTAAAACCCCCAAGGTGCGCTGTATGGAAAAGTACAACGTACAACACACAACGTACACCGAAAACCGGAGAATTTACTCGGTTTGATGTTAAAGGGTTTCCTCCCCCTATCAGCTAGAAGAGGAAGGTGTCGCTTCTCACATGTCATATAATAGGAACCCCTACGACGTCTCTCAAGCCCAGACTCCAAGGTTTCACGTTGCAATCTGCCCCTCCTTCCGGAAATATGTCTAGATTTTAGTTGTAAACTAGTTGCATGCCCAATCCTTATTTGTCACGAATAGATATAATGGAGTCTGCATGGTACATGTAGGATAGTGGAGCATGTAGGGGTGCGAAGGATCATACTTTCATGACGTTGAAATCCTTCGACTCTTGAATGTGACTCTCATACGGGGTGCATAACTCTCATTAGGGGCCTACGAAGTAATCTCCGGAATGTTAAGCCCCCATTTTATACCGTGCAAGGACCCAGCTAACGGGAAGCACGGGCCTGGCCACTCTGCTGGGTCGTTTCAGTTTAACTCTGTTTTTCCCTTTTCTTAATCTTTTTCCCTTTCCCTTTCTTTCCTTTCTTTCTAATTTTCTCTTGGGAATGATAGGAAAGTATCATAACTTGTACAAATTACACACCTATATTGACTTGGCGACAATAATTAATGGAAGTATTGTGCGAAGTGTCTAATAAATGTCCGAGCCCTGAAAGTCAGGGGCAAGACACAATGAGATCCACCGATTTGATTTCCATTCGTTACCGCGCGGCTCGTCTTCCCGAGAGGTTCCGCTCTTGGGAGAAAAAGCGGAGTTCCGAATTCCCTTTCTACCGCGAAAACTCGTTGGGCCGTAAATATACTCCGTACTCACGGAGAACTCCGTTCGATATAGCATTGTCAATAGAGCCAACATAATAGCAGATACTTGGAATAACATAAGGCTCTTTACTCTGTATACCCTACTCCACGGAGTAGATAGTATATCAATAGTAGGAAACTCATTTTTGAGATTATCACGACAATGCGGGGATTTTCCCTGATAATGAGTCTAAAATCAATAGCGATACAATTTATAATAGACAATATACAATCTGACCTAAAGTTTGGGAGGCCTAGATTATTGATTTGGATACATTCTGTGCGAAGTACTGTAAATGAAATTAAGTATAACAACATTTGAACCTTGGTGTGGCCTGATTGGCCTTGTCACTGGCTTCTCTACTACATATCCTTTCTGTATTCTCGAGGCTACTTTTCCTTGTCCTTCTTGACGCCTTTTCTGATCCTCTGGCAGAGACAAGAACCGAAACTATGATACCAAATAATTAAAGAGTCGTCAAGTCCTTGTAACCCCTTGACAGCGGAACCTGGGAAGGGACGGAATTCCCGCAATCCACTCACCTGGGCATCCACCCAGTCACATACCTACATACGTACAGGTATCTTTAGATGGACCGTTCACACCCGTTGACAAACACTGATACCACTCGCTTGGACAGCTACCATGTTCAATCCGCACTTCCATGCTCGGACTACGTTACATGGTCCGTTACGTTCGCTACTTCCGTGATCTAGATATGACATAGCCCTGGAGGTAATAGAGAGGTCGCTCCTGCTGGTAGATAAAGATTACATACGTAGCTCCCCATTTTAGAACAGCCATAGTTTGATTAGCATAGAGCATAGTGTAGAATAATACTACATAATAACTGTCATCCATCTCGCAAGTTATTGAAGTTTGTCAAAATGGTATCTAATCTCCGAAACCGAAAGTGGAAGCGGACAGCATCGCCCGCGTCCCTCCCAGTACATCAGCATCAGCATCAGCTTCGATATCAGCAGGTGAGCCACTAGACCCCTCTTGACAACACAAGCACCGCTCAGCCGCTGTTTCTCGAGTTAGTTGAAGACAAAGTCTCGCTCGCCAGAATGGCAGAAAGAGAAAATCCGAGAGATGAAGGCTACAAGGGAGAGGAAATTTTCGATTCCGATTACGACGAGGGTGACGCTGTTCTAGCTCGTGGTTGGCCACGCAACTATCGCAACCTCGTAAAGCATGGATTTAGACCTATATGGACATCCAAGACGGATACCCTGAAGATGAGATCCCGGCGGACATTCAAGAATGGCTGGACGAGAACGGGCAGCGTAGTAAGTAGTCTTTCCCCTCACCCTCCCCGCCTTTTTGTCTAGGGGGATTATCGGCTAATATCATCTACGACAATAGAAACCGCCCAAATTATTGGCCCCCTACGTAGCCTGGCATGGCTAGAGGGTCTGGACGAACTCGTCCAAGCCATAGACCATCCTGCGTACGTTATCGAGGACGAAATAGAAGTCATTCCTTTCGGGACAGGCCTGTTGTGGCCACTGGATCGACGAGTAGAAGAAGGGACCGTGCCGCCCACGATATGGGCCAAGGCCTCAGGCAACAACCCACCAGTCATTTCTTCGCCCCTCGTAACAACAGTTCCTACTGCCGTACCGGCAGCCATCAAAGGGAAGCTTGAAACTCACAGTCTCCGCGACCTCTACCCGGCCTCTCGGATCAAAGCACCGGACCATGTCAAATGCGTCAAGATACAATTTGACAAGAACCTGAATCGGCTAGAAGCCAATATAAGGAAGCTCGTCGGTGATGCGCTTGAATCAGAAAATCTTTGGTTTCGGGGACTAACTTTAACCGCGTTGGAATCGATATTGGCTTTCTTCATCCCTGAAAGAAGCAGCCAGAATGCAGAAAATGAATTTGGTCCTGGATTTTACACTGCGGACACCCTGTGCTACGCACTGGAATATGCTCGAATTGGAGGCGCAATCATGGTCTTCAAAGACCCTGATTTGCTCCATACTAAACTTTGGGAGCCAGATTCGCAATCTTGGAGTGCTTGGGTCGCGAGATGGAAGCATCTCCCGCTGGAGATTGCGCGGCAGCCAATCCCAGCGGAGTATGGCACCGCGGACTTTATGAAGGGGGCAATTTCTAGTCGTGGGCAAAATGTCCAAGCAGGCCGTGGGGTCCCTGCCCCATCAGAAAATGTCCAGTTGGTTGCCTGCAGCTATAAAGGCTGCAAGGCCTTGTCTGATTCGCTTGACATGATAATCTTCATCGAGCGGGCTCAGGGAGGGTGGTTAGTTCGAGAACCTTTTATGTAGTCCTCTTTCTTTGCTCCGTAGTGAAAGACCATTTCAAGTTGAGACGGTCATTACTTCTTGCTATAATGCGATACCATTTTTATCTGCACCTCTTGGTCGACTTTGGCACCTCAATACTTACAAAGGTAAGTTGGATGACCGTCATGGAGGGGCATTGTGTGTACTTCGTCTAGTGGTTGATCATGCGCATTGATGTACACCATTGTACGCACGTGGTACGTATTTAGGTAGATCTGCACTGCTACTCTTGATACTACATACGTACATCCCGGGTAGTCTGTTCGGATTCCCGGATCCCCGGAAACGCAGCTTGAAGCACAGCGGGTTCTGCGGCATTTTGAGTTATAGCATTCCGTCCAGACTCTACGGGGTATTGGGGTGTGGGCAAGCATGGAGATTCGACCGCCCCGCCGCGAGAGTTGCGCCATTCCTCTCGGTTCTCGTATCTTCGAGCTGCACAACCTTCATTAGCCTGTGCGCTAATGCATCGAGCTTTTCTCAATTACTCCGTAGTGCTTTCTACTAAACCTTAAACGATTTAACGTCATGAGTTTAGCAAGTGATGGAATCGCCCCTTTGTGACGCTTTGAAAGAAGACACATGCACTAATACTCCGTGCGGAGTTCGTACTAGCGTGAAAGAACATATGGAGTAGATATGGGCTGCGACTTACGGTATATATTGTAGGTCTTGCATCTCCAACTACCCCTCTACCCCTCTACCCCTTATTGATGCTTCCAGAAAAGACAAAATAGTTCTAGACTGGCCCAAGTAGCATTTTCCGCCCATGGCGTCCCCAATTGGGATATGATGCGCGTTAGCCAAAAGTAGAAATGGAAACGACTCCGCCACATCTGCGACTAATTTAGGCCCTGGAGGCCGGTAGATCCCCTGATACCTGGTTCCGTTATGATTGTTTCCGCCCGGTTGCCACGATGTCATGCCTAGACCTTAGAAGGCAACCTTGGAAATCTCTTCCGATTAGGGCCAAGAAGGGATGATATCTAGACTTTGGCTTTTTCCCGCCTAGATTGCCAGCATGCATGGAGTACGGAGTACTCTGTAAATAGCTCGTATTCAATGCGCTTACTTGAGTGGCCACTGGCATATTCGAACACTGTCTGGCACTGAAAGAAGACCCAAAAGCTTATACTGCGGAAGGACTAAGTGGAACTCCTGCCTTTTATAGACCGTTCCCTGCCTTTCTACAGGAATAGCTTTAAAGGCCGAGGCACGTTCCCCTTCCCGATAAAACTGAGATATACGGTCTCCACAGTGTAAGATTTCTAGATCCTTTCTCAGCGCCTCTATGATGGCCTGCACAAATCAGTCACTGCGGGATTTGGCTTAGGGGTGACATAGATATCCCTCATGTGTTGTGGGTATATTGTTAGTTGTCTCTTTTCCATTTAGCCATCGGATCCACTGGGTTAGTGGGGTTAGTTGGCTGGAGCAACTATGGTGGCATCTACGAATACTTCTCAGATTGCTCTAGGAATTGAGGGTGATTTGAGCGATCATTTAGTTGTTGAAAAGTCAAAACACAGTGCAGAAAGGCAAAAACGGAAGATGCAAGTGGACTGGGATATCTCTCACATCGATGTCATTGCGTACACCTTGTACTAGCTTAGTTCATGTTAGAGACAATCGATTTCTGGGCTGCTTTCAACCTAAATCTCAAGAATTGAACAGTCAGATGAGTAAACTGATATTTCCTGAAGCGACAATTAACTAGAGGAGATGAAGCTATTCCAAAATGCGAAAGATGAAACCACAGCATCACGTGCTGGCCTCAATGCGGTCTGTATCCCCCACGTGCAGGGGGCAAGTGTTTCTGCATCTGCTTGATAGCAAGCGGTCATTGAAATTACTTCGGGCTTCTTTCATATTGTGAGCTGGTGAGATCATGGAAAACCTTCATCGCTCTTCTGGGACCTAATCCTCATTCGAACCCACCAGACGTCACCTGCGACAAGCTCACCATGGAGGACCTAAACGGCTTGAGTTGGTCCTCCGACTCCAAAGATGCAAGCAAACCACCGCCAATGAGCTCTGGGTACTTGTACCCAAGCATACCATCAAATGGCGGCTCTGGCAGGTCTACCCCGTTATCTGCGACCTCGAACCGCTCTAGCTCGCCATCGAAGCCCGCCACCTCTACCGGAGATAGCTTCGCGAATCTGGTCTCATTCAATTCTTCCGCCGGAAACAAGAACCTTTCTCTTATTGAACAGCAGAAGCGCTTGCAGGAGGAAAGGGCTAAGAAGGACGCCGAAAATCGCACTCGATTCGAATCGCAATACGGAGGGCAGAACAATCAATTCTGGGACAACTTCGAAGGACGTACGCGGAGCCCCGCATCTGTACCTGCTCCTCAATCTGCACCATCGCCCGCGGACGATGAGGATATCCTAGCCGCCTTCGATGCTGCAGCGCCAGTGGACGCGTCGACCCATTTCCCAGTCCCCAACTCCTCGAGAGCGTCGCCTCGAATCGACATGAACGGTCGCCCAGAACCCTCCAATGGTGGAATTATCATGCAGGACAACACGGGGGATATGGGCGCCTTTGATGACGATGATCCATTTGGCCTCAATCAATTAAAGCCAAAATCCGCACCCGCTCCTCAGCCTCAGCAAGGCGACGATGATGATTTCCTTGGCCTGCTCGGGAAGCCGGTATCGGATATCCCCCGCCAGGAACCGCCTCCCACATCTGCCACACCCTCAGATCGAGGACGAGACCAAGACGCATCTCCTATGCCTTCCAGCGAGGTCGACCGGGCTATTGCGGAGTTGGTAGACATGGGATTCCCCGCAGATAAATCTCGCCGGGCTTTGGATACCACAGAGTCTGGGACCGACGTGCAGGCTGCTGTTGGTTGGCTTCTTACCCAGGCTCATGCCGAATCTCGGCAGAAGACTGAAGGACATCCCAGTGCAACGCGTTCTGCCGATCGCGTTGAAAGGAGCGATAGTCGTAACCGTGAGAGGCCTCCGTGGATGAGAGAAGAAATGCCAGAGTCTCGGTCACGTCAGGACAGACGGAGTCCAGCGTCGGCGGACAAAGACCCTGCGCAGGTTGCCTCTCAATTTGGTAACAACCTGCTGAAATCAGCCGGCTCGCTTTGGAAGACTGGCAGTAAGAAATTTCAGCAAGCTGTAAACGAATTCAACGCCGAGCATGACCCCAGCCAGCCACGTTGGATGAGAGATGCATCCTCTGCACAAGATGAACCTCCTCTCCAGCAGCAGCGTCCAGGTCGTCGTAGTCAGCCGCCTCAATCACAATGGGAACAACAGGAATTCACTAACGAAGCGCTTCTTCTTGAGTCCGGAGATGGTCGGCCTCAGAAACCCCCTCGTCCTCTTGAAAGCCACCACCCCGACCCAAGAAGCCAGCCTCATAACCAACAGTCCCCTGGTGCTGTCCAGCCAAGGCAGCAAGCCAACTTCCTCCAGCGTCCATCCCGACCAAGCTCTCAAGATCCTAAATCTCGACTTTCACGGTTTGCGGCTGAAGAGCAGACAGCGCAAGCATATGTTAGTCCTGCAAGACGCAAGCGACCTCAGGCACCACCGCCGCCTTCTGAGCCTAATGTCGATCTCTTCGATTCTCCCGCTCCTCCAGCTAGTCGTCCAAAGCCTCCAAGCGCAGCGCAGAGGGCCCCACCTCCAACACGCTCAGCTTCCATCCCTGTACGCCCCAAAGCCCCAACACGGTCTATTCCGCCTGTATCTCAAGAGGCGCTTCAATCGACACACCGACACCGCGGAAAGGCCGCGGACTCGTACAAACGAGGTGACTACGCGGAAGCCCACCAGAGCTTCTCTACGGCTCTCGGTATGCTCCCTGATAAGCATCCTATCACCATTATCATCCGCAGCAATCGTGCCATGACAGCTCTAAAGATCGGCGAACCCAAGTCCGCTATTGATGATGCCGACGTCATCCTAACATTCATTGGCCCGTCTAAGGGCGAATCGGAGGTGATCGATCTATGCACCGGGGAAGCGCCTAAGCCCATGAGAGACTTCTTCGGCAAGGCTTTGATACGCAAAGCCGAAGCGCTAGAGCAACTCGAGCGCTGGGGTGATGCCGCGCAGACATGGAAGCTGGCTGTGGAGTCTGGCCACGGTGGTAGCACGAGTATCCAAGGCCGGAACCGTTGCGAGAAAGCGGCCGGTATCAACAAGCCTCAATCTAAGCCCGCAGCCTCTGTTAGGAAAAGGCCTCCACCTCCACCTAAGAAGGCTTCGGCTATGTCCGGTCTCACGGCTACGTCAGCATCTGGGACGGACTTTGAAGCAGTTAGCCGTCTGCGGCAAGCCAACCAAGCGGCCGAGCGCGCCGACGAAGAGAAGTTTGCGCTTTCTGAGAGCGTCGACGCGAAAATTGCCACCTGGAGAAATGGCAAGCAAGACAATTTGCGTGCGCTTCTGGGTAGCCTAGATTCTGTGCTATGGCCCGAGGCTGGGTGGAAGAAGATTGGCTTGTCGGAACTGGTTCTGCCGAATAAGGTTAAGATTCAGTACATGAAGGGGATTTCCAAGGTGCACCCTGATAAGGTATGTTTACTCCCTTCTTGCGTGGTATTGGCTGCATTTCGTCTGGTTGTCAACTAACGTTCCTTATTAGATTCCTACCACTGCCACCACTGAGCAGCGTATGATTGCTGGGTCTGTGTTTGGAACCCTAAATGAAGCGTGGGATAAGTTCAGAGCTGAAAATAACCTCTGAACACTCCTATTTCCCTGTTGATACCATCTACCCATCGTCATTACTTCGCTTGTTGCATTTCGTGATTCCATTATCTAGAAGCCGGCTTTGATAGCATCTTGTCCTATAGAGAATTCCCACATGAGCGGTGGCCTTCTTTATCATTCTGATCTCCTGTAGTACTCATTCGTCGCTGCTTGTTTATCATCGTTGGTCTACATTCGCTCATTTGTCCCCGGCTAGCCTGCAAGCTGCTTCTTAGGCCAACTATCTAGCGCCAG